GTCCACTTTTGTCAACATTCATTTTTATTAATAGAAAATAAACACTTATTTCACTTTCATTGTTGTTATACTTGAAGCTGCTAATAAAAAAAAAGAATTTAAAAATAATCACTTAATAATCTTGTTTTGACTCAGACAATGAAACTGTGGCTTTGAAAAAAAGTATTCAGCACCATTTGCTCATAGATCTTTCAGAATTTGTTCTTAAAAATTTCTGGAACGTTCCTGTCTGTAAAGCACAGGAATTGCTGGGCTACATGAGAAAGCCTCTCTGGGACAACCAATGAGAAGTTCAGCCCTATCAAAGGAATCACCGTACACCCAGCTGGCAGCTGGGACTGTAAAAACGGTCCCCTCCCCTCCACCGTAGCTTGGGAGGGACATGCTTCTAAGCACTGAGGTATGAATACTTGGACTGTTATCTGCTGTTAGAATCGGTCTTTCCAGCTAATCACAGGAAAACTCTGGCACGGGCACTATTTAGTCATTAATGTCTTGTGATTTTAGGAAATTCTGAAAACAGTTTGGATTTAGTTCATGTAGAAATGAAACGTGTTTAGTAAGGTTCACTCCTCTGCCAGAGTCAGTATCTGCTGGTTTAGTATCCTTATAAAATACAGGTACACATGTAGATAACTCATACTCTTGAAGCATACGTAGAATACTACATTATTTAAACCAAAATCTACTGTAACAAAATGTCTATAATGAGAAGCAGCTGATGAAACTAAATTCAAAGTCATGACCAGGGCGACTCACTCTCACTTGATGCCGAAAAGGGCTTAGAGGACAGGAAAGCACGTGCCCTGAAAGCCATCAAGGAGAGGTTGGGCCCCTTCCTCATTCTTTACTCTATGAGTCCAATTGGGGTTGGGCCAGAAATTAGCATTTCTAAAAATTTCAGAAAAGTCCACAGACGTGTTAAAAAAGTCTTTCGTGACAAAGAATGTCTGCCTGTCTTTCGGCATCAGTGAGTAGTAGTGCTCATCAGAATTTCCTAATAACACAAAAGACAAAGGCAAGTTCATACACTTGATGATCAGATGTCAGGGGAATGGGAGGTGGACTGTTAGCTCAGCACTTAGTCGGAGCTTCTGCTGGCTTTTTACTATGCTCTGTTCACCTATGTGAGTCAAGTGGACTTTTGTGAGAGAATAGTGTTTAGTGGCCAGGACCTCTTTTGGGCATTTCTTCCTAGTGGAATACACGACAGATAAGGGCGTAGGGGAGGTAAGACAGGGAAGCTACTCTTTCCAGCTCAGAAGGAGTTGATGAAGCCCATATATGCATTCAAGAAGCCCATGGGATCCTCTAGCTGTGGGTAGTGGCTAATGTGGTCATCCAGAATCGACACTGTGGACCGCGGCAGCGTTTTCCTAGTGGAAGAGAACAGCATGGAGGTGAACTTGAGGCTGGTGGGAGGGGAGAGGTGTAAGCCAGCGGGAAGCCCCAGTAAATGCCACTGCAGACATACCACACTGGAAGGAATCAACACAGGGCTTAGTCACCGTCTACCCTTGAATCTTAGGCAGAGAAAACTGCCAATTCCATTTACAACATATAAAGATAAGTTTTTAAATGTTCAGGATGCAACAAACAACAACTTGAAAATATAACACATTTGCGACTAACGCCAAAGCGTTTGTCCGTAGAGAAGCATGAGGCATCAAACAAGCAGATGATGCGGCAACTCGCTGCCCAAGAGTGAAGATAACAAAGGACCTTCCTTCCTACCCCCAGAAGAAGAGAAGAGGGCCTTCTGTTTAAAACCGGATGCAAGCTATTTTCTGCTGACTTGTTTCCACTAGGGCACATGAAGGTATGGAACATTCTTATGTGACATAATCAAGAGCTCGTATTCCGACACCTTCTGATTAAGCACCTAGAGAGACAGCCAGCGAGAAGGCGGCACCCCACAGTGAGCCCTTCTCAGCCTCTCCTTGCAGTCGGCTCCTTCGGCCAGTGACTTAGCTTTACAACCAGACTGAAGCAAGCGTTTCTTAAAATATAGCTTTTTTAACTCCTTGGCTTGCATGATAGCTTTTTCTCATTCATACACCTAGGAATATGTAGTAGCCACGACAGTGGAAAACAGGCTGTATAAATCAAGAGAAACTATAACTGAATTTGTTGATCTTGACATTTATGTGCAAATAAGATTCCCCAACTCATCCTCTTACATGTTTCCTGAATGAACAACCAATGAGGTTGGAGACGGCGGCTAGAGCAACAGCCCTAACCAGATCATTCTTTCAACCGCCGTCAGGATGAGGTTACTGACAAAACAGAGATCTCTGGGAAGACTCACCTGTACAGCTCCAAAAACTCTGGGTAGGGATTTACAGGATCCAGTGGCCCATAGATAAAATGAACTGAGAGAGAGAAGAGGAATGACTTAGTAACAGCCCCCATAGCCATTCTCCCACCCATCCAAAATCAACTCCTCCTCCACAAACACGTTTCCTGTAAATCAGTTTGTCTCCTGGTAGAGCACCTAGCTGCTCTTATTAAGTAGACTACAAGGAACTACTAGGAAAGGCCAATTAGTTCAACTGGCACTTTCTCCCCCATATACAGCGTTCTGTCCCTCCTCCAGCTCTTCTGGGCCCTGGTACCAAAGAAGTGAGCCCACTTTGAGCATTCTCTTTCTGTAAATCCAAGGGACTGGCTTTGTCTCTGTCTCTCTCTGCAAGCTGTAATTGACCCTTGGGTTTGAAATCAACCAGTAATTTCCTGAACACTAGCTACTGGGGACGAGACATCACCCTGAGTTTCTTTTTCTTTCAAATCTGTAAGAACAAAGAGACAAATGAGCAGAAGCCTCTTGATCAAGCATCTAAACCACCTGTAGCCTCTTGATCAAGCATCTAAACCACCTTCTGTCCTAGCAACTCGGCATTTCCTGTGGCATCGCTGACAACTAGCATCACCAAACCAGTCTAACGCCTGCTCCTGACGGGAGACCCACTGCCTTTGCGGTAGCATCGCAACATTTATACACCTCACTTGATAACAAGGCACCAGTGTCCCAGATATCAGCAGACAAAGGATATCCAGTTAAATCTGAATTTCAAATCAAGAATTTTTTTTTTTTTTAGAATAAGTATGTGCCAAATAGTGCACCAGACATACGTATACTAAAAACTTATTTATTGTTTATCTGAAATTCAGATTTCACTGGGTGTCTTATGGATTTACTTGCTAACTCTAATGACCCTCACTTGGGTAGTGGAAGGTGCAATGACTTGGATCCCCCCAGTCCTTCAGGAAATAAAGGAGCAGCACTCACTGGGAATAGTCACAGAGGCAAGAGCTCCCACCCAGCGTCTTCTAAACTTCTTTCTCTGATTGATGTACTGTAGGAGACTACAGAAGAAGTAAGTCAGCAAGAGTAGAAGCAGGCAACCTTTATGGTCACAGCCACCTCAATACAGTATTTGTTTCTTAAGCAACAAGTGTCTAAGGACTTAGCATTCCTTAGCGCATCTGTTGAGGCTACGGCAGCGATGGTGCTCACCGTCCGTGGAAGGAGTGACGGCTCAGATGTCTGGAGCAGACAGTGAGATCTGGGAGTCACCAACACCTGGGTCAAAGGCTGACCGGCTCTATCACTAAGTCACTCTGTGACTCAAAGATACAACACCTACCTGTCCTCCGTTTCCTCATCTTTAAAACAAGAGGACTGGACTAGATGATTTCTCAGTTGACCTCTACTTCTGAAACTCTAGGCGTAGAAGTTCATGAGCTTAAGCTCCATCCTTACCCTGCCACTAACCACACTGCATTTCTACATTGTAAGATGCCACAGCCACATTTTAGAACTCGCCCTCATGTGTTCCGAGTGTTCCACCTGGCCAACTCAAGGCCCATTACTTCTGTGAACCTCAAACATCACCTCTTAGACTGGAATTTAGAAATCAGTTGTCATTTCCAACTCATGGTGACCCCTGTGTGTAGAAGGAGCACAGTGGCTGATTTTCTGGAACTAGAGCAGCAGGCCTTTCCTCCAAGGTGTCTCTGGGTGACTCGAGCCACTACCCTTTCAGTTAGCAGCGGAGCACTTAACTGTTTGCACCACCAGAGACTCCCTGGAACAGGAAAGTGTGATGACACTGTAAAAGCACCTTTCGTTTTTCAGGTTTTCATATTAAAATGAATGTCTGGTGATCTCACAGAGGGACTCAAGGCGGGGAAGCAATGGCTCCCTCTAACATAGTTTTCAGCGAAGCTGTCAGTTACAGTCACTGAAAGCTACACGGACCCCACTGGCAAAAGGACAGCACCTTATCTCAAGTAGTTACAGATTTCACCACCTCTGGAGCCCTCTGTGAAAGCTGCTACTCTCACATCTGAACCAAGGCCTGGGAACACTCTGTACAAGACAGAGAAGACTCCTTCCCAGCACCTGTTGTTACGGAAAAGACATACGAAGGCAAGAGGCTCGCTGGGCTCCTTCCACAACTACGATGAAACATCCTGAAGCATTTAATACTAGCATACTGTCCGAAGGAGGATTTACCAAGTCAATGGCTGGTTACAAACTGAACACGCATTAGCACTGATGGTTGTTTGTCTAGCCTTTTCGTGCCATGCAGCTTAAGCTCAGGGCTCACCAGGTTCGCAATTCTTTCTTCTTTGTTTTGGCTTGGTAATAATCAACTTCCTTAGGAGCTCTGGTAGCCTAGTGCCTAAGGCATCTGACCGCTAACCAGAAGGCTGCTGGTTCTAACCCACCAGCCACTCCTTGGAAGGAAGGTTGGGCAATCAACTTCCACAGAGCGGACAATCTACTTTCCGCCTCAGAAACCCAAGGAGGGGCCACTATGAGTGGAACTGACTTGACGGCAGTAAGTTTGGTTGGTTTTTTATGACAGCTAACGAGCCAACAAGGAGCAGCACAAGCAATCCACATCTTTCCCCAAGCTCCAAAAAAGCCTCTCGCAAAACCAAAGCAAAGAGGTATTTCTTACCTGTCAATGACTAAGTTCCCATCATTGTTGCGTATCCCTGCCCACATGTCCCACAGCTCACTCTCAGAGGGCCGGGTGTAGGGCCCAAAGACTGGGGTGAGACTGCAAGAATCCAAAAAGATAAGTGTGAACAGAACTCAAACATGACCAGAATGTCAGTGGGCATGCAGTCCAACCTTTAATTGGTTTATTAACTCCTCCTAACGACTTCCCTGGCAAGTGGCCAACACCTTTGCTTTAAAAATATCAATCCCCAGGATTTGGTCCAGAATTTAATGGCAGCAGCTTTCCACTACATTGTTGCCATGGGGTAGCCATAAACTCTGACAACGACTTACCCTCGAGAGAATACAAAGAAGTTCATCAGGCGTGTCAGGATGGGTGACAGCATGCCTCCATCTTTGAGTAGCTGCACGTAAATAGGTAAAAGTAAAAAATCAGGGATGCAGCAAAAAAAGACGAGTCACAAAGACAAACAGTTTTATTCTGGGAACTAACTGAAAAGGGGCTTTGGCTAAGTCTCCCTCTACTGAAAGGTTTGGTTGTTGGCTCTTTGGGTTTTGTTTTGCCTACCCATATTCTTCTCTCATGGAAGGCAAACCTACTGCTAACTGCCTTTAGGATTCTGTTTCTATACCTCAGTAACTAAATCCCTGAGTTTATTCACAGTATAGGCTAGGACCCCAGTTTATTTGAATATCATACTCATCACACAAATCTTTAGCTAGCTTCACTTCTCCAAATATCAGCTGACCCTTTATTCTCAGAAATCATCATAGGCTTTATGTAGGGGCCATTCTTACTGCTTTAAATGCATGAGAAGAAAAACCTAAGGGCAGAGGATTTTAGCTACATTACAGTGGGTATGACCCTTATAAAGATCCCAGCATTGCTTAGGTCTACACAAATCCTATTAACTACACATCTGTTCAATGGAGTAGCCAACCTTCTGGAGAAGGAGAGGACGGTGAGTCTCAGGAAAGATACCTGCAGGAGAAGAGATTTCTCTTACTCACTTACCAACCAGCTTGGGTCAAACACAAACCCGTTATGCAAGACCGTCTATCCTATTCAGCATCACCCATGGGATTTTATTGCCAAAAACAATTACAAATAAAAACTTCATATGGTTAGCTAATTACTTTTCCAGGGAACTGTGTTTAAGAAGCCAAATGACATCACATTGGGATTGTGCTCCCTGTGTCAGAAGTAGAGAAACGGGGGAGTGATCTGCATGATCGTCTGTAACGCAGATGACCAGGCCCAGCTCCCCTTAGCATTTCCTTCCACCCCTCAGAACACGCAGTGTTAATGATCTGCATGCAAAAGAAACCAGGAGGAGGGTATTCAGGGACTGTAGGTACTAAAAAAGACCTAGAGGCTCCCTTTTGCCATTTCTCCCCAGAGTCAACAAGGGAAAGGCATGAGCATCGCTGAGCCAGCCAGCCTCCTCTCCAGGGAGAAGCCGTTGGGATATTTCTGGGATTACAAATGGGGCGCAATGGCACACCAAGAAAGAGAAATCTCCCCCGAAGGTCTAGTCAGGGATTCATTCATTTCTAACTGAACTGTGGCATTCTTGTCAGGTAAGAGTTTAGGAAACAAACGACAGAAGTAGCTGAAGCACCTGTGGCTTCGCCTCAGAATTTTCATAACCCATCACAGCGGCTGCAGGTACAGCGAACATCATTCACGCTCCCCACTGTCGTCTGTTGCTCTGAGACCCACCACTACATCTTGTTATCTATTGTATTTAAAAAACAGCACATATTTCTGTAACAGCCGTTTATTAATTGTATGTCAATAATCAGTTTCCTTTGTAATCTTATTTATTTTCTGTATTTAAAAACACTATTCCAAGAAAGAGTCTCTAAACTTTGTCAGCCCGCCAGAGCAGTTCACAGTACAAAAAAAGATGAAGAGCCTAATGTTTAACTGCTCTGTTCGTAGTGTTATCAGGTTACCACTTAGATGTCACTGAGATATCGGAAGCAGGAGCCCTGCTGGCACAGTGGTTAAGCACTCAGCTGCTAACCAAACAAGGTCAGCAGCTCTAACCCACCAGCTGCTCCATGGGAGAACGATGTGGCCGTCTGCTTCCATAAAGACTTACAGCTTTGGACCCTACCGGGCAGTTCTTCTCCGTTATGGAAGGTCACTATGCCTCAAAAAGAGGAGCCCCTGTAGTGCAGTGGTTAAGTGCTTGGCTGCTAACCAAAAGGTTGGCAGTTCAAACCCACCAGCTACGCCGTAGGAGAAAGATGTGGCAGTCTGCTTCCATAAAGATTACACCTTTGGAGACCCTATAGGGCAGTTCTACTATGTCGTATCAGGTTGCTATGAGTCAGAATGGACTCAGTGGCAGTGAGTTCTAAGTGGGAATCAACTCGCCGGCAATGGGATTACTGGATGGCATCTAAAGGCGGCACTCCTGGGCTACACCCCGCTTTCCACTGACCACCAAGGCCATTACCTCCATTTGACAGACAGAGGCTCTTTATGGTAAGCCGTCCAGATCGGTTCTGCTTGTACCTGGAAAGCGAAGGGGGAGACATGCATGTCACTCAGAGCGCTCACACCAGTGCAGTGGCAGCAAAGAACCTCCCAAGAGGGAAAGGGCCAGAAAGACCCCCGGCATCATTTCCTTCTGGGCATTTCACACAGCGCAGCCTGGGGGCCACGCAGCAGCCGGGCTCCGCTGACCTGTAGAGCAGCTCCTGAGCCACGATGTCCCCGTAGTCGTGAGACAGGAGGTTGACCCTGCGGTTCTGCAGCCCCAGGTGCCTCAGGAGCGCCTCCACGATGCTGGCCTGCTCGAATATGGAGTAGTGGTGCGGTCTCTGAGAAGAGAAAGCCAGGAGACGCGGGATGGAGTCATGGGCACGCAGATGGCTGCCAGCCAGGCCCTCCGTCCACGTGCACCCCCGCCCGGCCCTGGGCCCACAGAGCTGCAACTCACCGGTTTGTCACTGAAGCCAAAGCCTAAGAAATCGAGAGCAATTACTCGATGAAACCGCAGTGTCAGGCCTTCCCAAATCTACAAGAAAAAGAGAGGATTTGGACTTTGTGCTCCTGCCTGCTCCCCTCTCCCTGAGCTGCAGGCAACGGGGCACTTCACCCTGATCTCCATCATGACTTCGACAAAGAGAACTCACGAAACTACCACAAGCCCCACAGCTGAGCCTCTTGGAAAGTGCCTTATTAATCTCTATTGAGGAAGGGACTGCAGTCTTTTTAACTTGGCAATGTTCCTTTCCAGATAGCCAAAGCGTTTCTACTCCCTTACAGTAAGTGAGCAACAGTTCTACATGCATCTGCAGTTCACATCTGCAGAGCCTTCTATTGTTGGTCCCAGGATTTTTAAGATGGAGAAGGATCCAGAAGTCCAATGTCGTTACCTTGTACCAGTCGTAGCTGGACGTCGGGAAGCCGTGCAAGAGCACAACTATCTCCGGACTTCCCACCACACCCACGGAATCTGGGAGGAAAGAGAGAGGAATTAGGCTGCACCTCAGTGGGTAACCATGACGACAGTCAGTAATTTAGTGAAAAGCCAAAAATCCAAACCCAGTGCCATCGAGTTGCTTCTGAATCCTACCACCCTTATAGGACAGAGTACCACTGGCCCGTCAGGTTTCCATGGCTGTAAATCTTTACGGAAGCACACCGCCTGCCTCATCACTCTCTCAGGGAGCAGCTGGTGGGTTCAAATTGCCAACCTGGTTAGCAGCCGGATGCCCTAACCACTGCACCACCAGAGCTCCTTTAATTTGGTGGTGGTGGTGGTGGTATGTGCTGTTGAGTCAGCCCTGACTCATAGTGACCCCTCCTTGGGTTGCCAAGGCAGTATCACTACGGAAGTAGATTGCCCAACCTTCCTTCCGAGGAGTGGCTGGTGGATTTGAACCGCCAGCCTTCTGGTTAGCAGTCAAGTGCCTTTAGGCACTATGCTACCAGAGCTCCCTTTAATTTGGTATAAAGGACCAAAAACAAACCTGACCAGATTAATGAAATTTAAATGATAGTTTTCTTTTTGAAATACAGGGTTTTTTTTCTCCTTTAATACGTATATAAAGAAATTCTGAAGGGAACATCTTACGTAACTGTGCCCCTACAGTTATTCTGAAAATATCGAAGGCAACATGTTTTCATCTAGATTCTTTCAAAAGCTCACTTCCCCCACTCCTCTGTTGAGTTTGTACTAACATCGATATTAACATGCAGAGTGTTTTTCAGAGTTCAAAGTAAATGGCAGCACGGTGCACAGTCCCACCATGGAAATGATGGACTCTTTGTGCCTTGTCATTAATGGCCTCCCAACAATTCTCTGACCTATGGCTCCTCTGCCCAGCCAGGAGGCACTTTAATTTATGCCATTTGTCCAGCACTTCTATTTCCACCAGGAGCCCAAGCCAGTAACAAAATACAGTGCTCACCCTATTGCAATTCTATAGACTATCAAAAGGGTTAATTAATGTAGACATGAGCATCTTTTAAAATACATATGACAATCTGGGATCATTAAACATCTTTTAAAAATTAGTCAAACATTTAAATAGTAAAATACTGTGCTAATCAGATTAAAACTGAAAAGTCAGATACTGCCTGCAGCATGGAAATGTGGTAAATAGTAATTTCATTAAAAGCAATTAAAATGTTTATCTACTTTAACCTAACATTCTTGTTCCTGAGAATCCATGCAAAGAAAACCATTGTGTTTATAACTAGTACAGCTTGAAAATATAAGGAATAAACAAACATTAACTACTTAAAACACTGAACAGTGTGGAAGCAACCTGTGTGAGCAACATAAGGAAAAGGACATACTCACTTAACAGCAGGCAGCAAATGAGAGGGGGTCAGGAGCAATAATGAAAAACGGTTTATGACAAACATTTTTCGTTATTGCTCTTGACCCCCGCCCAAAAGGAGTCTTTGCCAACCTTTGTGCTGTTCCGTTTCTTCACCTATAAAATAAGGTTAATGACACCTGTCGCCAAGTGCTGTCGTGAAGATGACATGAAAGAACGAAGGTTGAAAACGTAACTCAGTGCCTGGCACGCGGCAGCTCCTTGATAAGTAAGTCATAATGACCATTATCGTTAGCAGGTTCATTTATACAAAAGCAGAAAATTTGAGTCACACTCAGTTAGACCTATAACAGTTCAGGATGGCACCACAGAAGATTTTGTGGGGTTAAAGAACAGAACCAAAGATCACTACAGCTTCTGGATATTGTATCTATTACCTGAGTCTAAAAAACCAAACCCTTTGCCCTGGGGTCAATTCCAACTCATGGCAGCCACTAAACCAAAAAAACAAACCCAACCCACCAGTGATGCTCAACATTGAAAACCAGTATCTATCAATGTACATCAGGCTAGAAAGCAAAATAATACAAAAACCGAGGTCTACAGATTGGAATCTGAATTCTGCTGCTCCCTGCGCCCCCCACACACACACACACACCATGATCTCTTTGCGTTTCCCTGCTAGCGAGTACCAACAGGCAGTAGCCCATTCCTTCAAGCACACTACCCAGAAAACGGCCTTGTCCCCTCCATCACTGATGGGCCACAGAGACCAGTGGGCCCCAAATAAGCACCTCAGCTGCGACCTGCGACCTACGTGACCTGTACACGCCCTGTGCCAACAGCCCCATTCTCACCTTGGTAGAAGATGCGCAGTCCCTTGTAGGTAAAAAATTTGCCTGAGGTCTTCCACGAGTGGAGAGCGGGGGAGAGCTGAGGGGGCGGGATGTGCAGGTAGGCTGCCAGCAGGGGCACGGCCAGCAGCCCCACCTGGACCCACCACTCCCTCATCCTGTGGGAGAAGCAGAGACTGGGGTCAGCGGGCAGGGGATGCTGTGTGTCTACTCCCCAAGCCCACACTGGTCCAACAGGGTGGAAGAGTTCTGCCCCATGCAGCCACCACCTTGCCCCCCAACTGACCCACGAGTTTGCCGAGAACACGGAAGCACACCTTTGCCAGCTGCGGCAATTACTGCATTTGCCCACCCTTCTCATTTTAAGGAAAATACATACATACTATTTTAATATGCAACTCTCCCCTTTAACCTCTCAAGCCTCTGCCTTTGCACGCACCCTGATGCCCGCAGAAGAGGATTTCTGTAAAGTAACACTTAAATTTTTAAGTATTGTGTACGTTTTCGTAGGTTTTCATCAAATCTTCCCAGGAAAAAAATAATCATTGCCCTCATACTTACTCTTAACAGTTCACAGGTAAGATGTTTTTTAAAAAAACAACAAAACAGCTGTGTGTGTGTGTGTGTGTGTGTGTGTGCGTGTTCCTGACACCGAGAACCTCTCATTTTTCATCTGTTTCACCCTCTGGCCCAAGTGGAGCCCTATTTGGTCCAATCTAGACTAGTGCTGAGAAACTGCTCAGGGTGAAAAGGCTGCGACATGAGAAGGTGGCTGCCCAGGACAGTCCAGGTAAGCAGCTTTGTCACAACCCCGAATGTCTAATCTCTTGAGAGGACAGAGTGCAGATTACACTGCTGCTGCTTCTAGCAGGTTCTTGAGGAACTTCCCACTTACTTTGTTTTTTAGAGTCACTCAAACCCCCCAAATAAATAAGGGAGGGCTCATCTGCAGCCCCCAAGATTGCTTTTGTCTTTGGAGGCAATGGGAACGAATTTGGGTTTGCACAAGCAACCATCC